GTGGGTTTCCCCAATTAATCTCATAGTCAGTCGGCTTGTCTACGTCTGCGGCGCGCATATTATCAACTACTGCTTGGAAGTCTTTGTCATTCACCACTGGTGAACTTGTTGCTTTTGTCTTGTGGGAACTTTCAGTTGGCGTTGCACCGTTTTGGCTTGGATAAACTGAATCAATCTGTAAAACTATGTACTATGTTATTTATCTAAAAGCAGAGTAGAGACTTTTTTTTACAGTTTTCACCAGTAAAAGAACATAGGCAGCAGAACACCAACCACTGTCACACCGGAAACTGAAAGTGTTTTCACAGTTAAGTCAACGCCGTTTCCACTCTTAGTAAACTGGCAGTCCTAAAAAGATATACATGTGTTCAATTTACGGATTTTTTTCTTCAAATTGTAAGCTTCAAAAAAAAAAGCAAAAATTCTTACTCCAACGTTGGCAAGGGCGCACACTGTGTAAATGGTCAGGTCGAATTCTGGTGAAGTTCCAAGAAGGAAGCTATCCATCACAGCATGATCAGAGCCCCATGCAAACTGAAGTTCCATTTGTACTCCCTGAAAGTAAAGTGTTTTGGAAGTTTTACTTCACTGTCGGTAGATTTATCAATATGGTGACAGTATCCAAGATTAATAACTGGGTTGCCAGTCAGCAAAACGTAGTCTAACCTTCTGTCTTGTGAACCATCCATGGTAGTTAACTTTGTTATCTTGCTCTAGGAGATAGAATCTGTACCAGTAGTTAAGACCAACAACGTCGTTTGCGTGAGTTTCACCGACGAAGACTGTTTCAAAACCTGTAATTCAGAAATGTTCAGAGTTCATATGTCGTTGTTTAAACAGAAACTTTTACTATACAACAGAAGTTGTCTTTTGCATTCATCAATACCAAAGAAAAAAGTGGATTTGCTGTGGTGTTATTGAAAATGTTTGAGCTTACTGGAGCTTCCCAAAGCTGTGGCTCTTGTGAAAGGCGTGAACCAAAGACTGAACAGTTGCTTCTTGAAGGCTGCAGCATCATTAGTTGAAAGCCCTTAAATAAAAATCTATACCACTGACATAATGAGAAGATATTTTCTCATAAGTTTTATAAATTTCATTAATTTATGAAGTGTCTTGTCAGAAATGATTAGCGGCAGATTAATGTCTATCTTTCTGATTTATTGGTGGTGATCTATAATTACTGAAAGTCGTATTTGATTTACCCGATTTAGTCAAGAATTCCCAGGCAGTTTTCATGACATCAGTTGCAAGAACTGCGTCTAAGAAGGCGTTGGCAGCATCAATTCTTTCTGGTGTGTTTTCGTCAGCGACTGTGGCATCGGGCTTTGTGTACAATGCCTGAAAATATTCAATAGCTTATTTTACTGGACAACGTTATTCTACTTAAAAAGTCTTTTTTTTGTGAGCTGTTAGGGCTTATAACAGATTGACTAAAATTTTTATTTTTTTTCACCTGCAGCTTTTGGAAGGCTTTCATTGTTGCGGTGCTGCTAACACGTTCGCTTACAGAGGTGAAGAGCCTGCAATGAGTTAATTGTAAAAACAGTAATGTGCTGCTAACAAATGAGCACTTCTTCACGTGCTGTTTTATAAACTTCCTAAAATAATATCTAACGAGAAGATGTTCTATTGTTTACAGGGAATAGGGATGTACAGAAAAAAATAAGTGCTAAAAAATACTAACGGGCTTGGAGCATTATCATGATCAAATTTTGTGTGGCTTGCCATATTCTGAAAATTCACAACCACATCATTTTGGTCCCCTCCATTTACATCTTTTCTGGCAATCTCGTTCAGAAGTGCTGTTACATCACTCGCAGATATCTTGTTGATAGTACGTGCTGTAAAAAAAGAAAGTTGACATTTTTTATATTATATAAAGTCTTAAGTAACATTTAAAAGGTATTTCACTGAACAATTGACTGTCTTTTTTTACATTTTCTTTCTTTTTGTATTATAGTTAGTATAAGGAAATTTTTAAATTGGCTTCAGTTTTTTTTTTTTGTGTGTGTTTAAAAGATATCTGGTATTCTTAACCGCAAAGATACAGATGATCAAAGAACAGTTGATAGAGTAAAAAAAAAAAGGTTTTTTTTACTACTTTTTTAATTGGATTAACAAGGAGAAAAAAAAAGATAAAACAGCTGTAAACAGACGAACTGATAAGAGCTTGAATGGAAAACATAAGCCCCACTTTTCAGGAAGCTAGACAGCAAATAAACTGAGTAAAAAAGAATTACCTTGCGTACAGATGAGCAACAACGACAGTATCAAAAGACGCATCATTGTGGCGCAGAAGCTCCCAGTTGTGTTTAGAGAGTTTTACCAATGGTGAATGCATGTCTGCTATCGTATTTAAGATGTTTCTTATCACCAACTACGACGACATTCATCAACGTCAATTATATTTTAAGATTCAAAATGCAACTAATTAATGTTCATCGAAAAAAAAATAAACGTTTTCTAAAAAAAGAAATGTAATTTTTTTTCTTTTCGTCTTTTTGTGTTTTCCTCTCCTTTCATAACTTTTTTTTGCTTAGTGTTGTTTGCTTAGATTTTATGTCACTGAATACTTTAAATTTCTATAATCAAATATTGAAAAAAAAAATTTTGACCTTTTTCGTTTATTGGTTTCCTCTTTTGTTTATCAACGAATATTTTCATATGCAATTTTCTGCAAATGTTTTTGTCATCGCTTTTGTATTTTGTCTTTATCTGTGTCTGTGTCTGTATTTGTTCAGTGTTACTTTGGGCAATTAGATGAATGCAAAAATAACATATAATTATATCGTAAATGATGGTAAACTGTTTTCAACACTGTTGCAGCTCAAGTTTACTTTTAAGATGCATAAAACTGTGGGATACAGGAAGAAATAAATTTTAGTTGAAATTTCCACAGATTACTGTGATTAGTTTTAATACAGTCTTTATAAAGATTTTTCCAATAAGTTGTTAAGAGAAGCGAAAAGAAGACATTAGTTTTCTTTCTTATCTCTGTCCATCCTTTTCCTCAGCAAAAAAAAATCTGGTACGGTTATTGAGCAAAGAGAAAAAAACAACTGAAGAAAAAAGTGATTAAACAGTACCTTTCAAGAAATAGTTTTTTTTTTTTCAACAGTCTTACAAAAAACAGTTTTTATGCTTTTTCTGAAAAAGGATTTTTTTTCTCTTTTTATTAGTTAGAAAGAATTTACACTGAGTAACTTTTTTTCAAAGTTTTAAACTTCAAAACATAAAACTCAGATATTGAAGTGTTTTCTACTTTTAATACTTTTCTACCAATAAAATTTTTGCTGCATCATACTTTAGCATTTTATTGAGTTTGTATTTAAATATTTGTTAAGCAAAATACTAGTTCAATTTTTTTACTTTTTTCTTCTTGAGAATACAGTATGTTTGTTGGTTGAATCAAAAGTATCAGCTAACGCCAAAAAATTGACAATTTTATGTCTATATTAATCAAATAATCTATTTTTTTGCAATAAAGAAAACGTTAAGGCCTAACTTTTAAATGGAGAACCTATTATAATATTCATTTGTTATTATAGGCGGCTTTTTTTTTAGCTTTGATAACTGCCGAAATTATTAATGTTTTATTTGTATGGTAATAATATTACTGAATTTTAATGGTCAATAATAACAGGTTAAAAAAGAATAATAGAAATAAAAAAAAAAATAGTAGCACAGAGCAGAATTTTTAAACACTGATTTTGTATCCGGAAGTTTGATGAATTTTATTGTCTGTTATAAAACACTTAAGTTTATTTTATTTTTATTTGTTTATTTTTTTTTCTTTTCTATATTTTATTATTTGATACAGTTATCAATCAACAATTTGTATACGTCAACAAATGCTAAAGTAAATTTTTTGATCACATATTTAACTTTGATTAGTCGTTATTTTAAAACTGTACTGTATGCCGGAACAAATTGTTTGTCTGTGCTAAAAAAAACAAAACAAAAAAAAATTGTGACGATGTACAAAAGAGGTGCTGAATAAAAAGCACTGGTTTTTTTTCTGTTCTTTCCTCTTTCTTTCTTTCTTTTCAGAGATATCAATTTGAAGGCAAAGTGCTAATAATAAGCGGTTAGAATATAGAAGAAAAAAATTTTCAGATTTTTACAAACTTAAAACAAACATTGTTGTATCATTTATTTATAGAATATACAACAAAATGAAATTCCAAGTGTAAATAATTTTGAGTTGAATCCAACAGCAAATAACTGTCACTTTGAGGATAATTTGATGGAATTTTTCAGTTTATAGCTGTTGGTAAGAAACAATTTTTATTTTCGTTCTAAAATTTTTGACAATTTTTTATTAGTACAATTATTAACAGCAGCTTTTTTTTGTTTTTTTTTTGTTTTTTTTTTTTGAAGAGCTTTAAAATATATCACTGCAAAAAAGAGAAAAAAAAACCGTTTTACGCACAGTCAAATAGTTGCTGAAAATTTTGTTCTCTGTTAA